TTTTTTGGATTTAGTATTATTGTTTAACTCAACCTGAATTGTTTTTTTAGGAATAAGGCTTCCACCCCTCACCCCACCCCAACTTGTCTGCTCCTCTCAGATTCAGGCCACCTGGGATAAAAAAGACTAAAAGTCCTTTGTCTCATTGAAACTTTGAGAAATCATTGTCCTCCTCCCTTTTTATTTTTTATTTTATTTTATTTTTTACTGCTGCAGTGACTCTACAAACAAACTTCTAATTCCGGGCAAAGGCAGCCTCTGATTGGCGCGTGGTCGGGCGCTACACGGAGTCAGGGACGCTTCGCCTCCTGGAGAAGGTCCCTCTGAACGCCCCGGGCTCCCTTCCCTGACGGAAGTGCGGCGCCGGGTTCAAATTCCGACGCTGCCGATTGGTGAATTACCCGATAACAGTGGAAAAATGTGGCCTCTCCCATCTTAGCCTTGATGAATCTTACCGCCACTGAACGTGGGCCGTGACTTTTTTGTGTCTCCAGCATCCATCTGTGAGTATCATTTCCAAAAATCTTTAACTTCAACATTATAAATAAAGCAGGAACTACAGGATTGAAAGGGGAGGAAAATGACACCAAGAGGAAAAATCTAAAGCAAAGTCTAGGACGGACTGCAGAGCAAATAGCTTAGCCTCTTCAGTTAGGCCAGTGTCGTTTAATGAAATAAGAGTTGCTTTTGCTGGGCTGCTGGTCCGGAGCCATGGTGCCCTCGCTGTGGAAGGGGCTGGTGGGCGTCGGCCTTTTTGCCCTAGCCCACGCAGCCTTCTCCGCCGCCCAGCATCGTTCTTACATGCGATTAACAGAAAAGGAGGATGAATCCCTGCCCATAGATATAGTTCTTCAGATCCTCTTGGCTTTCGCAGTTACCTGTTACGGCATAGTTCATATCGCAGGGGAGTTTAAAGATATGGATGCTACGTCAGAACTAAAACATAAGACCTTTGACACATTACGGAATCACCCATCGTTTTACGTCTTCAATCATCGGGGTAGAGTACTGTTCCAGCCTTCGGATGCAACAAATTCTTCAAACCAAGATGCGTTGTCTTCTAACACATCCTTGAAGTTACGAAAACTCGAATCACTGCATCGCTGAGATTTTTACCAATCAATCATCACAACGGGACAGGACACGGAGCTGGAATACTGGCGTTTGGGGGTCTATAAAACACCTCCCCCCATCGATACTTCTCTTGATCTTTCAGACCTAATTTTTAAAAGGTTGATGCCCCTGGTTTTTATATTGTTAAATTATTGATGCAGTATAAAATAGCTGTGAAATGAGTCTTTGATCTTTCATAGAGTTCTTTTTCCCTCATTTAAAACAAATAGGCATCTTTTATAAAAGTCACTGTTTTGAACACATTTCTTTGGGGAAAAAATGTTGATGTGTTTGTAATTGTTTTCTCAGATTTTGTTTCCTTAGCACTACAGTTTTTAGGACCCTTTTGGAAACAGTGTGACTGCTGCATTTTGCTGCATGAATGATAATAAAATGGTCTTCAGTTCTTTTTTTTTTTCTTTTCTTTAAAATATATTTTATTGACTTTTTACAGAGAGGAAGAGAGAGAGAGAGTAAGAAACATCAATGAGAAAGAATCATCGATCAGCTGCCTCTTGCACACTCCCTACTGGGGATGTGCCTGCAAGGAAGGTACATGCCCTTGACCGGAACGGAACCTGGGACCCTTCAGTCCGCAGGCCAATGTTCTATCCAATGAGCCAAACCGGTTTCGGCATGGTCTTCAGTTCTTAACAAGTGGACTTATCTGCAGAGATTTAAAAAGGTGACATCAGTTTTTGTAGGCCCTCTAAAAAGAGGCTCTGCTTCAGGAGTTACTTGCCAGATTTTAATTTATCCCTCACTTCTCACCCCACCCAACTTCAATAATACCTTCTAACATCAGCCATCTCCTGGCATCACTTCTCTGGAGTTCCGTGTGCAGTGAGCAATTTTTGTATCAGAAATTCTTTGTTATAACAAATCTACTTAATAGACTCAACTTGCTGTAAAGCTACTTGTACTCTTTGTTTATCTGTAAAAAATGTCCCTGATTGGTTATGTAGTGTAAGAATGTTGAAGGTACACCAAAAAGACCCTTTGGGATTTAATTATCCTGTTTATGTAGAAGAATCATCACTGAGGAAAACTGATTATTTGTCATTAGCCAGTTTAATTTATTCAAATTCTGTTATTTTATTGCATTCTACTCTAGTGAATTAGTAAAAATAAACTTCTCATTAAAATAAAAAATAAAATTAAATTAAAAAAGAAACTTCTAATTCCTTCTGTCCACTCCAGATTTCATGACTGCATGGAGGGAGGGGGAGGGATGAAAAATCTCAGGAGAAAGACCTTTTCCCTTTCCCTCTCAAGAAACGGAGAAACGACGACCTTCCGACCTTCCGGAGAGCGAGCGCTCCAGCAGCCGAGGTTATTTATAGGACTCAAATATAAATCCCCTCTGGGAACTCCCGCCGAACTGCCACGCCAAGGGCGCCCGCCTCTCTGTAAGGGTGTTTTGCTCCAGCACAGTTTTAGCCGCGACAAACAAACAAACAAACAGGCTCTGCTCTGAGTCCTCGGGAGGGCTGGACGCCTGGAGGCTGGGGACCAGGCGGGATTTAAAATATTCTGCCCCTGGAATATAAACTGGTTCGGCCGCTGTAGAAAAACAGTATGGCAGAATCCTCAAAAAGTTAAAAATAGAATTGTTATAGGATCCAGCAATTCCACTTCTGGGTATAGACCCCAAAAAATTTAAAGGAGGGACTCAAACAGATGTTTGCAACCCATGTTCTTTTTTTTTTTTTTTTTTTATAAATATATTTTATTGATTTTGTACAGAGAGGAAGGGAGAGAGATAGAGAGCTAGAAACATTGATGAGAGAGTCATTGATCAGCTGCCTCTTGCACACCCCCTACTGGGGATACGCCTGCAACCAAGGTACATGCCCTTGACCGGAATCGAACCCAGGACCCTTCAGTTCCCCAAGCCGACGCTCTATTCATTGAGCCAAACCGGTCTCGGCTGCAACCCGTGTTCACAGCAGAATTATTCACAATAGGCAAAAGGTGGGAATAACTCAGGTGTCTATGGACAAATGAACGGATTAGCAAGCTGCGGTATAGACATACAATTCAGCCTTAAAAAGAAAGGAAATTCTGACACACGCTACAACATGGATGAATGTTGAGGGCATTATGCTAAGTGAAATATGCAAGACACACGTGCTGTATGATCCATTGATATGAGGTACCTAGAGCAGTCAAAGTCACAGAAATAGTAGAATGGTGGTGCCAGGGGCTGGGGGAGGGAGAAATGAGGAATTAGTGTTTACTGGGTTGGGGTTTTGGTGTGCGGTGATTAAGAGGTTTTAGAGATGGGTAGTAGTGATGTGGCAAAACCCTGTGAATATATTTAATGCCATTGAATTGTACACTTATAACATGTTCAAAATGGCAAATTTTATATTTTACATAATTTACTATAAAAACAAAGTTCAAAAAATTCTGCTCCTCATCAGAGGCTAGGCCCGGAGCAGCCAGGCCCGGAACAGCTCGCTCCTCGCCTGAGCTAACCGGCCAGGGCTTGCTGTGTTGTTGTTTTTCAGTGTTTTCCATTCTGTCGCATTGGTCTATTTGCTTACCACTAAAAAAAAAAAATACTATAAAGTATCTTAATTATTATAGCTTTGTATAATTTTTTAAATATATTTTTTTATTGATTTCAGAGAGGAAGAGAGAGGGAGAGAGAGATAGAAACATCCATGATGAGAGAGAATCATTGATTGTCTGCCTCCTGCACGCCCCCCACTGGGGATCCAGCCCACAACCTAGGCATGTGCCCTGACCGGAATCAAACCGGTGACCTCGTGGTTCTTGGGTCGTCACTCAACCCCTGAGCCACACCCGGCTGGGCGCTTTGTGTAAATGTTGGTATACAGCAGGGCAAGTTGCCCATCACGTACTCCTTTAAACTTGATTTGTTTTTGTCATCTAGGAAATTATGTTCGTTGCCACAGGTGACTTCCACACAAACCTCCAAGAGATGAAGCAGTTTTCCCAGCGTCACCACGTCAGGAGGAGGACTCTGCCTAGCGTTTCTCCTCGGCCTGCGGGTCCTGCCTCCCCACGGCCCGGCCGATGTTTCGGGGCCGGGAGAGGCGCGGGCAGGAGAGAGGCAGGCAGGTGGGCCGGTTTGGGTCTGGCCTCTGGGGCACACACTTTGCCAGCCAAGGGATGGGGCTTGGGCTTTAACTGGCAAAACGGGAGGCAGAGATGGAGGGAATGGAACTGGGAGCTCCCACCCGGGCCGGAGCGCCCGCAGTGCCCGTGGGCAAGTCTGGTCACTGTTCGGGCTGAGCAGCCTGAAGGGGGGCCTGTAGTTCCCTTTGTGCTGAGGCTGTGATCGGGGCGCTGGGAGGTTTGGGGGGAAAGAACCTGGAAGTCAGGACAGATACCCCCCCAAGTCCCAACCTCCTCCAGCGCCCCCCCCCCCCGCCTGATTAAGGGGCGCTAAGCAGCTCAGGCGGATTAAGGGCTCGGGCTGGCTGTTCCCACACCCCCGCCCGGCCGGCTGGAGAGGAGACCGGTGCGAGGGCTGGGACCCCGCACCCCGGCCGCGCCCCTGCTTCACGGTGAGCGGCGAAGGCCCCTCCGCGTGGACCGTTCCTTCTCCCCCTGACGCTATGGGGGGGGGGGGCGTTGGTCTGTCCCTCTGACCCCCACTTCCCGGGGGCTCTGACCAGGGGAGAGGGGCAGCCAAAAGGGAGCAGGAAGCCGAAGGGTTGGGAGGTGCGGTGGGCTCCCGGACCCCATCTGGTCATCCAAGCTGGAGGCAGGGAAGTGGAGACACTGGGTTAACGGGACTTTGAGAAACGGGGGGATGAGGGGGTGCTGAGAGAGCCCAGGAGAGCTGGGGGGTGCGGGGGTGTCTCATCAGGATTGGGGTACCCCCTGCTCTGTTTGTGCTGCAGAAGCGGGCAATGACCGGCCGTCCGGACGCCCGGCCGTGGCTCCCGCCGCCGCCGCTGCTGCTGCTGCTGCTGCTGCTGCCGCCGCCGGCGCTCCCCGCCGCGCTCACGGTCGGGGTGCTGGGCCCCTGGGCCTGCGACCCCATCTTCGCGCGCGCGCGCCCCGCGCTGGCCGCCCGCCTGGCCGCCGCGCGCCTCAACCGGGAGGCGGCCCGGGGCGCGCCCCGCCTGGAGGTGGCGCTGCTGCCCGAGCCGTGCGGGGCGCCGGGCGCGCTGCGGGCCGTGGCCGCCGCGCTGGCCCGCGTCTCGGGCCTCGTGGGCCCCGTGCACCCCGCGGCCTGCCGGCCGGCCGAGCTGCTGGCGCAGGAGGCGGGGGTGGCGCTGGTGCCCTGGGGCTGCCCGGGGGCGCGGGCGGCGGGCACCACGGCCCCCGCGGGGGCCCCCGCGGCCGATGCCCTGTACGCGCTCCTCCGCGCCTTCCGCTGGGCGCGCGTGGCCCTGGTCACCGCCCCGCAGGACCTGTGGGTGGAGGCGGGGCGCTCGCTGGCCGCGGCGCTCCGGGCCCGCGGGCTGCCGGTCGCCCTGGTCACAGCCATGGAGCCCTCGGACGTGTCCGGAGCCCGGGCGGCCCTGCGGAGGGTGCGGGCGGGGCCCGGGGTCAGAGGTAGGCTCCCGCGGGGCGAGGGGTGGGCTGGGGCGCCCCGCGGGCCCCGGCGGGCGGACCCGGGAGCTCCTGTCTGTCCGCAGCGGTGATCATGGTGATGCACTCGGTGCTGCTGGGCGGCGAGGAGCAGCGCTGCCTCCTGGAGGCGGCGGAGGAGCTGGGCCTGGCGGACGGCTCCCTGGCCTTCCTGCCCTTCGACACGCTCCACTACGCCGTGCCCCCCGGCCCCGCGGCCGTGGCCGCGCTGGCCAACAGCTCCCGGCTCCGCAGGGCGCACGACGCGGTGCTCACCCTCACGCGCCGCTGTGCGCCCGGGGGCAGCGTGCTGGCCGGCCTGCGCCGGGCCCAGGAGCAGCGGGAGCTGCCCCCGGACCTCAACCTGCAGCAGGTAGCCGCTGCCTGGGAGAGGGACGGGGAGGAGAGGGAGGGCGGGGAGCTGGGGAAGAAAGCAGAGGGGGGATGGCCACGTTGGGGCAGGGAGGCTGGGGGCAAGGGGTGGAGAAGTGGATACAGTCATAGCATGAGCGGAGGATGGAGTCAGTGGGAGAGAGGAGGATGGAGTCCGTGGAGAGAGGAGGATAGAGTCAGTGGAGAGAGGAGGATGGAGTCGGTGGGAGAGAGGAGGATGGAGTCAGTGGAGAGAGGAGGATGGAGTCAGTGGAGAGAGGAGGATGGAGTCAGTGGAGAGAGGAGGATAGAGTCCGTGGGAGAGAGGAGGATGGAGTCCGTGGGAGAGAGGAGGATGGAGTCAGTGGAGAGAGGAGGATGGAGTCAGTGGAGAGAGGAGGATGGAGTCTGTGGGAGAGAGGAGGATGGAGTCCGTGGAGAGAGGAGGATGGAGTCAGTGGAGAGAGGAGGATGGAGTCGGTGGGAGAGAGGAGGATGGAGTCAGTGGAGAGAGGAGGATGGAGTCAGTGGAGAGAGGAGGATGGAGTCAGTGGAGAGAGGAGGATAGAGTCCGTGGGAGAGAGGAGGATGGAGTCCGTGGGAGAGAGGAGGATGGAGTCAGTGGAGAGAGGAGGATGGAGTCAGTGGAGAGAGGAGGATGGAGTCTGTGGGAGAGAGGAGGATGGAGTCCGTGGAGAGAGGAGGATGGAGTCAGTGGAGAGAGGAGGATGGAGTCTGTGGGAGAGAGGAGGATGGAGTCCGTGGGGGGAGGAGGAGGGAGTCGGTGGAGAGAGGAGGATGGAGTCGGTGGGAGAGAGGAGGATGGAGTCCGTGGGGGGAGGAGGGGGAAGTCGGTGGAGAGAGGAGGATGGAGTCCGTGGGGGGAGGAGGGGGAAGTCGGTGGAGAGAGGAGGATGGAGTCCGTGGGGGGAGGAGGGGGAAGTCGGTGGAGAGAGGGGAGGATGGAGTCCGTGGGAGAGAGGAGGGTGGAGTCCGTGGGAGAGAGGAGGATGGAGTCAGAGGAGAGAGGAGGATGGAGTCAGAGGAGAGAGGAGGATGGAGTCAGGAGAGAGGAGAGTGGAGTCCGTGGAGAGAGGAGGGTGGAGTCAGAGGAGAGAGGAGGATGGAGTCAGGAGAGAGGAGAGTGGAGTCCGTGGAGAGAGGAGGGTGGAGTCCGTGGAGAGAGGAGGGTGGAGTTGGTGGGAGAGAGGAGGATGGAGTCCTTGGAGAAGGAGGATGGAGTCTGTGGGAGAGAGGAGGACCACAATGGGGAGAGAATAACGAGCAGCTCTACCTGCCCTGGAGACTCCTGGGTAGTGTGAACGCTCTGGTCTTGCTTGCTTGGGGCATAGTTTCCGGAAAGACTGAAATGAGACTGAACCCTAAATTCTGCAGCATCTTTGCAGTATACTTCAAGTAAACCCGCCTCCAGCACCACCACCGCGGACACCATAGTAAACAGCTGGTGCTCTTAAGAGGGCAGGAAGGAGAGAGGGTACAGATTTCAGAGGTGCTCCCTCTGGGGGGCTTTTTAAAATGTATTTTATTGATTTTTTACAGAGAGGAAGGGGGAGGGATAGAGAGCTAGAAGCTAGAAACATCGATGAGAGAGTGACATCGACCAGCTGCCTCCTGCACACCCTCTACGGAGGATGTGCCCGCAACCAGGATACATGCCCTTGACCAGAATCGAACCTGGGACCTTTCAGTCCACAGACCAACACTCTACCCACTGAGCCAAACCGGGTTCGGCCTCTGTGGTTTTAACTTGTTGAGAGCCATGACATCTTGTGAGAAGCAGAAAGGCCCATAATTCTTTAGATCCGCGGCTTATTCCTGAAACCAGCTAATACCCAGGATTCCCTGAGAACCAGAATCCCTGTGCAGACCACCTAGTCCCACCCCGTGCATAAAAGGGGGGCTGTAAGCCACTAAGATAGAAGGGAATTTAGATGTCAGGGCACAGAAAATTAACAACTCAAAGGGCCCTGTGAGAGAGTGCTGGGAGTGAAGGGGGGTTGAAATACCAGATGTGAGGCAGCCAGAGGCGGGAAGGAGTGGGAACAGGTGGGATGGAGTGAAAGTGAGAGAGAGAGTAGAGAAAGCGGTGGGGGGGGGAAACCCTCTGTAGTTCTCAATAAGCAAGGCATCAAGTCCTGTCATGTTTACTTCTAAATCCATCCACTCTCCATTCTCGCTGTCACTGCCCTGGTTCGGGCCATCTCTGGCCCAAACCTGAGAACGAAATCTTCCAAATGGTCTCTGATTCAGCGCTTACCTGTCCTAGACCTGTCTCCACCCAACCATCAGCTTGAACTTCAGACACGGGACTGTCACCCTCTGTCCGAAGCCTCCGAGGGGCTTCTCTTGCAGGAGAAACACGGGTCTCGTCCCATCGCTGTCCGATCTGGGGTCCTCTCTCTTCCATCTTCCTTGAACTTCAATCAGACCGGCTAGTTTGGTTTCCCTAGATGTGTCCTTCTCTTTCCCTCCATGCCGCTGGCTGTGCTGTTCCCGCTCTCCCACACCAGCTGTCTGTTCCCTGGATAATTCCGGCTCATTTCCCGAGGGAGGGCCCTCCTTCCTGTCTCCACAGCTGTCTCCGTTCCTGGCCCTCACTCGCTGCCCGGCCCTGACATCCTTGTTTGTCTCCCCAGCCAGAGGAGATTCCCTGAGTCAGGGACTCTGTCTTGTCTACCAATATACCCCTCGTGCTTCCCATGCTGCCTGGCCCTGTGAGAAGTGGGACTAGAGAGGCTACGTAAGGTCTCGGGGAACAAAAAGACTAAAAATGGGAATTAGAAGGCTCCTGGTTAGTGGTAGGTAATGACGTTAAAAATATAGTCAGGCCCGGTTGGCATGGCTCAGTGGTTGAGCATCGACCATGAAGCAGGAGGCCATGTTTCCGTTGCGGGTCAAGGCACACTCCCAGGTTGCGGGCTGGATCCCCAGTAGGGGGCGCGCAGGAGGCAGCTGACGGATCAACGATTCTCATCATTGATGTTCCTATCTCTCCCTCTTCCTTCCTCTCTCTGAAATCAATTAAAAATACATCCAGGCCAAAACCGGTTTGGCTCAGTGGATAGAGCCTCAGTCTGCGGACTGAGGGGTCCCAGGTTCGATTCCGGTCGGGGGGCATATACCTTGGTTGTGGGCACATCCCCGGTGGGGGGAGAGGGGGGTGCAGGAGGCAGCTGCTCAATGTTTCTCTCTCATGGATGTTTCTGGCTCTCTATCCCTTTCCCTTCCTCTCCGTAAAAAAATCAATAAAATATATTTTAAAATACTTATATATATATTCAGGGCCACCAACAGGAAAAGGAAGAGAAGATCTGTAGGAAAAGGAGAGTTAGAATTAACCAAAGGTGAGAAGAGTCTGAGAGTCCTGAGAAGCAGGGAGATCCGTGGGAAAGGAATTGGGATAGCCAGAGACAACGGGGAGATGGGGCACCTCTAACCGGGAAGTGAGAACAGTCAAGGGCTGAAGGGCCCCAGGGAAAGGTAAGGAGAAGGGCAGTCTGTTTATGGGCCGGGACCCCACCCCCTGAGCCCCTTCCCCTCCTCCCCCAGGTGTCCCCACTCTTCGGCACCATCTACGACGCGGTGATCTTGTTGGCGGGGGCCGTGGCGCGAGCTGGGGCGGCGGTAGGTGACGGCGGGGTGCCCGGAGCAGCTGTGGCCCACCACGCCCAGGAGGCCCAGGTCCCGGGTTTCTGCGGGGCCCTGGGAGGAGCCGAGGAGCCCCCGCTGGTGCTGCTGGACACAGATGAGGCGGGGGACCAGCTGTTCGCCACATACATGCTGGACCCCACCCGGGGCTCCTTCCGCTCCGCTGGGACCCCCGTGCATTTCCCTGGAGGGGGCCCGGGGCCTGGGCCCGATCCCTCTTGCTGGTTCGACCCAGACATCATCTGCAACGGAGGTGAGGGCCAAACCCAGCCTCCAACCAGGACCGTCACCGGGGACCTCCCACAGAGTGGGGACAGACAGTGGACCCGAGACGTGTGCGGGACCCCTCTCTTGCTGAGCCCCGAACGCCCCCCTCTTCCTGGCATTCCCAGAAGCTCCCCGTTATCGGAACTCACCGCCTTTGGCTAGTTCCCTTTCTCGGCTCCCAACCCCCCGCCCGGGAGCCTCCAGGGTATGGCCTGACCGCACGCTTCCCTAGGAAGGGTGCCTCCCCTCCGCCATGGTCCTCAGGGTCCCTCTCCCTGCCCCTCAGGAGTGGACCCGGGCCTGGTCTTTATCGGCTTCCTCCTGGTGGTTGGGATGGGGCTGGCGGGGGCCTTCCTGGCCCATTATGTGAGGTGAGTGAGGCAGTGAGGGAAGCAGGAGGGGAGCTTGGCTTTCTTCACGCCTGAAATGCAACTGTGCAGCAAGACTGGGCCCTCCAGAGAGGCGGAGAGTGTTTTTTAAAGGGACAGGAGGGACGGGTCCTAGAAGGCTGTCATAGTCCCAAGGGAGGTCTGGTTTGGGGATGGCTACCCGCCCCCCTCCCCCAGCGACATGGTCCCCTTCCGGCCTCCTCTCGTGCCCGCTGGCCCCTTTGCCCGCTGGAGATGACCTGCTTCCCCGCCAGGCACCGGCTGCTTCACATCCAAATGACCTCAGGCCCCAACAAGATCCTCTTAACTCCGGATGACATCACCTTCCTCCACCCACCAGGGGGCAGCTCTCAAAAGGTGGGAGAAGCAGGCAGCCAGGATCCAACTCTCATTCCTTAAATATCTGGTCCCCAGCCCTCGCCCCAACCCCCAACTGGAAAGGAGGTCTGGGGTCTGCCCCAGCCCTGCCCCAGGCCTGGTGTGTGCACTGAGGGTCACAGGCCCCGTCCTGGCTGCTTCCCGGGACAGCGTGAAGCTCCAACAGGAAGTGAATGTTTGTTTTGTAAACTGTCAACTGCGGTGCACTGGGAGGTACTGTCAGGATCACCTTCCCTAATGCCTCTTTAACCCCCAGAACTCTGCCTGGGAACTCAGTATATCCGGGACCCGGAGTATATTTGACGCCTTGAATTGACCTCTGCCCTCCAGGTGGCCCCGGGGAGTAGTCGGTCGAGTCTGGTGGCCCGCAGCGTGTCAGACCTTCGCAGCGTCCCCAGCCAGCCTGCCGACAGCTCCAACATCGGCCTCTATGAGGTGAGCCTGACCCAGGGAGGCCGAGCCCCGTCTGTTCCCAGAGCCAGATCCTCAGGAAAGGGAGATAGGAACCCCAAAGAGGATCGAGGGAGAGGCCATACGTTTCTAAAAGGGAAGCAACCAGGAATCCTTCCTGCCCAGGGTTGTCACGTAGCTGTTACCCAGGTAAGGCGTCTGCAGAGCCAACCTCAGTGACCCAGGGGCCAGGAGCCTGCCTGGTGGGGAGCGTGCTGGGCCCAGCGTGCAGCCTGGTGTGGCCACTGAGAACACCTCCCCCCCCCCACTTTGCTGGGAGCCCCGGGTCCTCCCGCCTCAGTGATAAGCCTCCAGGTTACTGAAGGGCACAGACCTCCAGGAAAGTTGGGGCGGAGGGGCCTCTGGGATATGGCTTGCCGGCCACAGAAAGGACAATTCCAGGACACGGATTGTTCAGGAGGGCGAGTTTCCAGACACGGCTACCCGTGCCTCAAACCAGACTCACGTTTCGGCCCCGCCCGGCATTTCCACCCAGTTCCACCCGGACTCAGGAAGGGTGAGCCTTCGAGGGGAAAAAGGAAAGCCACCAAGGGCCATAGGACATTAACCATGGGCTCAGCGAACCTGAGTGGCGGATGAGTGGGAGTTCATGAGAACAAATTCAGGGAGAGCTGAGAGAGAGCTCAGCCAATCAGAGGGGGAGGGCATATTTAGAACTCCAGAGGGTCAGGTCACCGAGAAAATACAGAGACTGTCATGTAGAGATCATCACGCCATAGCTCAGAGCAGCACTACCGTCATTTTGGGCAGGTTATTCCTCACTGTATTGGACTGCCCTGTGCCTTAAAGAATGTTGAGTGTCTCCTATCTCTGGCCCTTTTTACTAAACATAGCCCTCAGTGCTGTTTTTGTTTTTAATATATATATATATTTCTTATTGATTTCAGATAGTAAGGGAAAGGGAGTGAGAGGTAGAAACATCAGTGATGATAGAGCCTATTCCATCAGCTGCCTCTGCACACCCCCAACTGGGGACAGAGCCCACAACCCGGACATGTGCTCTAACTGGAAGAAATCAAACCATGACCTACTGGTTCACAGGTCACTGAGCCACACTCGCTTGGCTGCCTTCAGTTTTTGTGACAATTCAGAATGTCTCCATTTTTCTTTCAAAATGCTTTTTAGGGGTCTGTATCAACATCCCCCCTCCCCAAATTCCCTTCTTGTCCAAATCCCTTATCAACAGGCAAGGCCAGCTACAAGGTCCAGGGCAAAATAAAAATGAAGGGCCCCTGGTTCATTCAAGATGACCACAGCAGATCGTTGAACCAGCTCAGGCCTACTGAGCGTGGGCCCCTGTGTGGCTGCAGATATTGCATGTCCGTGAGCCAACCTGCCATTCAGCTGGGGACAATGGGGCCCAGAGCCTTGAGGGGAGCTGCCTAAACTTCACCTTCAGGCTATAGTAAAGCCTGATCTACCCAGACTCCTGACTCCACCACAGCGCTCTCTCGTGCACCAGACGGTGATGACGGCTATGACCTCAGTGACATTTGTGTTAGCAATGGCTTGCTCAATAGGACTGTTGGTGAGCAAAGTCGTTCAGGCCTTCTGCATCTCTTACCCAGGGGTGGGCTCCCACCCAGCTAGCTGACAAGTGGATTGGTTTGACATCAAACCCAACTCCTGGCTCCTGACACTCTTTGTCACGTGGAAAATGTTCTGGGGCAGTGGATATGGGGACTCTAGGGCTCTTTGCATCAGGTTTTAAGAAACTGAGTTCACATCCTGACCGGTTTGGCTCAGTGGATAGAGCGTCAGGCTGTGGATGAAAGGTTCCGTGTTCAATTCTGGTCAATGTACCTTGGTTGCAGGCTCAATCCCCAATAGGGGCATGCAGGAGGCAGCTGATCAATGAAACATTCCTCTCCCTTCCTCCTGTAAAAAGTCAATAAAAATATATTAAAAGAATAAAAAGAAACTGAGTTCACTACTCATATTTCTGCTCCAGGGAGACTGGGTATGGCTGAAGAAATTCCCAGGGGATCAGCACATAGTTATCCGCCCAGCAACCAAGACAGCCTTCTCCAAGGTAGGACTGGGCCCATGATGGGGGGGGGGGGCATCATTTCTCCTTTCTTGCCTTCTCCTTGCAGCTGGGTACAGAGGTAGGCCCCCAGTGGAAAGATCAAGAGGTCTCAGGGAAGTGTCCCCTCCTCTCTGAAGGTTTCCCATTATGTTCTCTGATAACACCAGTTATTTCCTCTGATGTGCTGCTCATATATGTAATTTTATGTTCCTCTGTGTGCCCGATTATTTATCTGCCTCCCTGACTAGCCCGAAAGCTGTGTGAAGGCTTCCCCGGGCCCCCTCCATTATATTTTCAGCACTCAGCACAGTGTCTGGAACATTAGAGAGACCCAATGAATGTTTGTTGAGTGAGTGATAGAAAAGAGTGAAGTGAAAAGTTGGCAAAGAGGCTATAAAATGGCTTATTCTGGTTCTTCCAACCTTAATGCTCCCCTAACACCATGCAGTCTTGGCCTGGCCTCCTTCCTGATGCCTCCCCAGAAGCTCTTGGTCATGGCTGCAGAATGACTTAAGTGGACTACTTGTAGTTGTCAACGGACTAAATCACCACTTAATACAGCAGGCAGGCAGTGAAGATGGAAAGAAGCCCTGAACCAAAGGAAAGCTAGAAAAGGAATCAGCCACCCGCTAGCCCCCATTTCCCAGCATGCCCAGCGGTGAGGGCCTCTGTCTGGGACCACAGCTTGAATACTCAGCCTCTACTTCCTGAACTTGGGGAGGAGGGTGGAGCCTCAGGCAGAGTGACTCACCAGAACAAGCCATTCCTGGTGGGGTCTTTGTTTGTTTGTTTGTTTGTTTTAAAGATAATCATATTGACCTCGATCAAAGAAGGGAGAGGGATAGAAAGATAGAAACATCAATGATGAAAGAGAATCACCAATGGACTGTCCCCTTGCACATACTCCACTGGGGACCAAGCCCACAACCTGGGCATATGCTCTTGGCTGAAATCGAACCCGGGACCCTTCAGTCCGCAGATAAACTGTTTCCACTGGGCCAGATCATCTAGGGCTATTTCTATTTTTTTAAATATATTTTATTGATTTTTTACAGAGAGGAAGAGAGAGTGATAGAGAGCTAGAAACATTGATGAGAGAGAATCATCGATCAGCTACCTCTTGCACACCCCCTACTGGGGATGTGCCCGCAACCAAGGTACATGCCCTTGACCGGAATCGAACCTGGGGCCTTTCAGTCAACAGGCCAATGCTCTATCCACTGAGCCAAACCGGTTTTGGCATCTAGGGCTATTTCTGGTATTTTGTGGATTTTTTTTTTTTTTTAAAGCAGTGCAGCTTCTCCCTGGTTCTTCCCCCAAAAGCTGTTACATTAGAAGGGGAGGTGGTGGTGCCAGTGGCTTCTCCTTCCTGAGGTGTTTTTCCTTGAGGCCTGGACAGCTCCAAGTCTGATGGTTAATAAATCGGAACCTGCCTAGATCCTGATGCCCAGTGCAAAGGAGTCTTTTCACTCGTAACTTTAAACTAAACCCATACTCGGTCTCTGAACGGTAGCCTTTGAAGATGTCTCTTCAGAGAGAGAAGTCTGCTGAAGAAAGCCCTCCTACATGCCCTATAGACCTTCTGTTCACCACTGTTATCCCATCTTCAAAACCAGTCCTGAGTCACAGCCTCTCGTCCCCACCTTGCTCCCGGGGCAAATGCCTGTTACCTTCTTCCCCCAGCTGCGGGAGCTGCGGCACGAGAACGTGGCCCTCTACCTGGGGCTCTTCCTGGCGGGGGGAGCGGACGGCGCCGCGGCCCCCGGGGAGGCCGTGCTGGCCGTGGTCTCGGAGCACTGCGCGCGGGGCTCCCTGCACGACCTGCTCGCCCAGAGAGACATAAAGCTGGACTGGATGTTCAAGTCCTCCTTGCTCCTGGACCTCATCAAGGTGTGTGGGGGGCAGGGAGGCCGGGGGGGGGGGGCGGAGGGAGGGATGAGAGCTCAGGGGAGCCGGGGCTGAAGCTGCCCCTCACCCCACCCACCCTCTCCAGGGAATGAGGTACCTGCACCACCGAGGCGTGGCCCACGGGCGACTTAAGTCCCGGAACTGCGTGGTGGACGGGAGGTTTGTGCTAAAAGTCACGGACCACGGCCACGGGAGACTGCTGGAAGCACAGAGGGTGCTGGCAGAGCCCCCCAGCGCGGAGGGTAGGACTCTCCGACTCACAATTTCAAGGCCCTCCTGTCCCTCCCCCTGGCATCCTCTCCCTCCGCCTGGCATCCTCTCCATCTCACATCTCCCGGACGCGACCCCTGCTGCCAAGGCCTTGTGACCTCTGGGATGAGGAGGGTGAAGTCCCAGAGGCGGGGCACTATCGGGGCGCAGCCTTATCCCTGAGGAGCCGACTTTCTGTCCTTGCGATGCGGTCTGTTCCACGTGGGACTTAGCCTGGGGGCGGGGCCTGTGCCTAGGGGCGGGGTCTTTTCTGGGCCAGAGGCGGGGCTTGTGGGGCCTGTGCCAGAGGGGCGGGGTCTCCTCTGGGCCAGGGGCGGGACCTCTGCGTGAGGGCGGGGCTTTTCTGAGACCCCTGCGAGTGGCCTCCCCTGGGGATAGCTGCGGGCCGCAGGCAGCCTCGGACGGGGGAGGGGAGGGATTGGTGAGTGGGAGGGGGGGGGTTGTCTGTCCCCAGTTCCCCCCCAAGACCCTCCGCGCACCCACGCCTTCTTCCCCGACCCCAGACCAGCTGTGGACAGCTCCGGAGCTGCTCAGGGACCCGGGCCTGGAGCGCAGGGGCACGCTGGCCGGCGACGTGTTCAGCGTGGGCATCATCATGCAGGAGGTGGTGTGCCGCAGCGCGCCCTACGCCATGCTGGCGCTGACCCCGGCGGGTACGGCCCCCTCCAGTGAGGTTTGAGCTAGAAGGGCCTCCTGCTGTTCAGCAGAGCCGGGCCACACCAAACCTCCCTCTTTTCCGCAAGCCCAATGCTGAGACTTAGTCATGTTGGCCTCCCTTCAAGCCGGGTCTGAAGGCGCAGAGAGCCAAGCCTCAGGACAGGCAGGGGCGGTTCTTAGGCGCCAGACGTCAGTGGTTTCCTCCGTCCTGATGCTGGGCTCCAAACTGCTCCCCCAGCGTGTGGAACAGGCTCCTCTCTGGTTCTTAGGGGCCTCTGGAGGCAGCAGGGGGAGGGGGAGAGCTGGGAAGACAGCAGTTGAACATGGTTCAAATCTATATTATGTATCATCCATAGGACTCAGCAAGCTACTTGATCATCCTAGCCCTCGCTTCCTATGTGTAATAAATGGTAGTCTCTGTCACCTTCCTGCCCCCACCATTCAGGGCTCAGGGTTCTCTTGTCGCTCCCAGCAGCCCCCTTCCCCACTTACCAACGCTCTGATTTAAAGGGCCCCTTCCACGCCCCTCCCATCTTGAGCTTCAATGGTCAGGCTTCTGTTCTGGTGCCCCCCTCTCACGGTCCCCTCGTGCCTCCAGAGGTGGTGCAGAGGGTGCAGAACCCCCCTCCGCTGTGCCGGCCCCTGGTGTCCATGGACCAGGCTCCCATGGAGTGCATCCAGCTGATGACGCAGTGCTGGGCGGAGCAGCCGGACCATCGGCCCTCCATGGACCGCACCTTCAACCTGGTGAGGGGCTGCGCAAGGGCAAGGACTGGGCTGGCCACCTGCCGGCAACCCGGGGAGCTGCTGGAAGGCAGCTGGCAGGACCTCTGACCCGCCAGGCTCTTCCTCAGGGGCAGCCTGAGCACTGGGTTTTGGGTGGGGACAGAGTTAGAGTGGAGGCCACAGAGGCCTTTGGGGCCTGAGACGGAGCTGTGGGTGGTAAAAATATTTGGTTCCGCTCAGTATGAATTGAGAACTAAGTATGTTCCTGGCCAAATGTGGCAGAAAGACCCTGGGCCTGGGAATTGGCGCTGAGGGTGGATTGGTTTCAGTGCTCTGGGAATGACTAGCCGAGGACAGCTGGCCTTATGGGGTCCCCATTTCCTGTGTGCCCGCGAAAACACAGCGCCCGGCATCCTGGGGTGTGGGAGGGGCCTGATGAGTTGAAGATGAATGAATGGGCGAGAGAGAGAGAGAGAGAGAGAGAGAGAGAGAGAGAGAGAGAATCCGGCATAACTCTGCCCCAGGAGGGGCCATGGCAGCCAAGGTCCTCAGCAGCCCCACCAGCTGCCTCCTCCCACTAGTTCAAGAGCATCAACAAGGGCCGCAAGACCAACATCATCGACTCCATGCTGCGGATGCTGGAGCAGTACTCCAGCAACCTGGAGGACCTGATCCGGGAGCGCACGGAGGAGCTGGAGCTGGAGAAGCAGAAGACGGACCGGCTCCTCACGCAGATGCTGCCTCCGTAGGTGCCCGCGGGGCCAGAGCGGGGAGGGCAGCGGGACGCCAGCCGGACTGGGGTGGCCTCCGGGTGACCTCGCCGCCTGCCACCCCTAGGTCGGTGGCTGAGGCGCTGAAGATGGGGACGCCCGTGGAGCCCGAGTACTTTGAGGAGGTGACCCTGTACTTCAGCGACATCGTGGGCTTCACCACCATCTCCGCCATGAGCGAGCCCATCGAGGTGGTGGACCTGCTCAACGACCTCTACACGCTCTTCGATGCCATCATCGGCTCCCACGACGTCTACAAGGTGGGGTGTGCAGGGGACAGGCCCTTCCTCCCGGCCCAGCCCCTCCCCGCCGGCCCTCAGGCCCCCAGCCCGGTCCTCTTTCCCGGACAGAACTCCTTTCCTTCCCTCCCCGCCAGCCCCCAGCTCAGCCCCCAGCTCAGTCCCCAGCTCCGAGGATCCCCGGTGTCTCTGCGCTCGAACCCAGTTTGGGCCTCCTGACAAGGGACCCTCAAGGGGGGGGGGGCGCTCAGTCCTGAAGCCCTGCGTCCCCCCCTCAGGTGGAGACCATCGGGGACGCCTACATGGTGGCCTCCGGGCTGCCCCAGCGCAACGGGCAGCGGCACGCGGCGGAGATCGCCAGCATGGCCCTGGACATCCTCAGCGCCGTGGGCTCCTTCCGCATGCGCCACATGCCCGAGGTGCCCGTGCGCATCCGCATCGGCCTGCACTCGGGTAGGTGCTCCCCCACTCGTGTCCCTCGCTGGGCGCTCCTCTCTGGGGCGGGGGGGGGGCCGCGCTTGCCCTGGAGCTGCCTCTGCATGCTGCAGTCAGGGAGCGCTTGGGAGTGTTTCTTTGGGGAGCCGGTGGGGTTGATGGGGCGCTAACCTCCCCCAGGCCCCAGGGGCCGCCCAGCCGCCAGCTCCAGCCCCGTCCCTCCTCCCACCACCCCGCTCCCCGCAGGCCCGTGCGTGGCGGGCGTGGTGGGGCTCACCATGCCGAGGTACTGCCTGTTCGGCGACACGGTCAACACCGCCTCGCGCATGGAGTCCACGGGGCTGCGTGAGTGCGGGCGGCGGGCGGGGGGCGGGCAGCGGGGGGGGGGCGGCGGGGTCCGCAGGGAACTGGCAGCGGGAGGACGCGGGCGCGGAGCCAGGTCACCCCGTCCTCTGCCCCCAGCTTACCGCATCCACGTGAACGCGAGCACCGTGCGCATCCTGCGCGCCCTGGACCAGGGCTTCCAGACCGAGGTGCGCGGCCGCACGGAGCTGAAGGTGAGGCCGCCGCTCCCCCCACCCCCCCGCCCCCGCCCCGGCCCCGCCTGTCTGATCCTCCCTCCCCGTGTCTTCCAGGGCAAGGGCACGGAGGAGACGTACTGGCTGGTGGGCAGACGCGGCTTCACCAAACCCATCCCCAAGCCGCCGGACCTGCATCCGGGGTGAGGAGCCGTCCCCCGGGGGCGGGCCGGCCTTTCCCCTGGCCCCGGGCCGGGCCTGACCCCGCCCGGCCGCCAAGTGGCAAGACTTGGGCCCTAAATCCCCCGCCACCCCACCTCCCATCCTCGACCCCTGAGGCGCCCTCTCCCTGCAGGGCCAGCAACCACGGCATCAACCTGCAGGAGATCCCCCCTGAGCGGCGCCAGAAGCTGGAGAGGGCGCGGCCGGGCCTGTTCCCCGGAAAGTGACGCCGGGCGGGGACAGGTGCTGCCCCCTGGCCCCCTCCCCAGAGGGCAGGGGCTGGCGCCTCTCTCCCAGCTTAAGGACCAGCCCTGCCTGCGACTCCCCATCCAAGCCAGGTGTCCTGGTTTCTGTCTGACGTGGTGAGCCTGGGCTGGCTCCTGTCCCCAGAGCTCTCTCCCCCGGGAGGGGAGCACCAGCCACGCAGGTTCTGGTTGGGAAGGTCTGGAGGGGTCCAGGAATTCCGACGTGGGAATCCCTGTAACAATGACCTTCTGTGACCTCTCCTCAGACCCCCAGTGCATTAACCAGCCCCCACCCCACCCCCACAGGCTGTGCCCTGCTCAAGAGACAGAACCCTAGGGGACAGCGTTCACCGGGGGACTGTGAAAGCCCTTCCGGCCTCCACCCGCCTTCAGGAAGCTCTGATCCATGGTCCTCCCCTTCCTGGGTGAACCCTCCTGATTCCACCATTTCCTCTGACACCCTCCTCTCCCCTCAGGTCACCCCCAGAAGCTCCTCTTCCTGACAAGTGCTGCTACAGGTGACCAAAACCTGCCTACTGCCTGCCGGGGGCTTCCGTGCAGCTTTTCGTCCAAGGACTCTGGGCCTTTTGAAGGCCTGGCTGCCGGCTGGCGGTGTGGCCTGTGGAAAGTCCGCTGCCCTCTCTGGGCTTGGGCCCCTCCACGGGAAGTGCGAGTGGCCCACGTGGTTTCCACGCCCCCTGGCTCTGACAGCCGGGTTCTAAATGGTTGGCCTTGGGATACAGGGCCCTGGGCATGTGACCTCCAGCCCCAGTGACCCTGAGACCAGCAGGATGTTGAGGTGGGCTGGGGAGGGGTGGGGGGGATTCGCCACTTCCCAGGGCTTCTTAAGGCACCAGGAAGCAAGTTCTGGGATTGGATGCCCCAACCCCAGAGAAGGCGGAGACCCCCTGGCCCACCAGAGCAGAGGATGTCACCCAGGCTGAGGGTGTGAAGGCTTCTGTTTAGCGTCAGTCCCTACTCCCTCCCCCACCTATCAGGAACTGCCGCCTTCACTTGTGGGTGTAACCACGTAACGTGCCCAAGTGCAGAGAAAAGCTTGCTTTAAGGCATTGGAGGAGAAAAAAAAAAAAAAAAGAAAAAAAAAAAAACAAAACTGCACCTAACCTTTCCTAACCAGAACACCCAGGGGATACTAGTGTTCTCAGTTTACCTGGCAGCCAGCCCCGTCCTGGCACGCCCCTGGCTGGAGAGTCTCTGTGGAACTCTCATGTCCCAGAGCATGGGCCTCGGCATGTGTGACTCGTGTCCTCCTCCATTGCTGCAGACCAGGATAGGATTAGCAGGTGCGGCCGGCACCCAGGCTGCCACTCTTAGCAGTGAGCACCCGGTCCCTGGAAGTATGCAAGTAGAACTGGAGACATCATGGACCAAGGATACAGCCAGAGGGAACTCCTAGGTGGAAGGATGAGCTAAATCTTCACTATGTGGCGGGTGGGCCAGCAGCAGTGACATCACCTTGGAATTTGTTAGAAATGCCCATGGAACTAACTACATGATCCTGGGATCCCTGACATTTCCAGAATCTCTAAGATTTCATTAAAACACACACACACACACACACACACACACACACACACAACAAAACAAAACCAAAAAAAAACAGGCTAGTAACTAGCCTGAGACTTGTTCTGATTCGCCTACGGGGTGATTTTTATTTTGTTTGAGTTAACGTTTTTAAAGTAAGAGATACCACATTTAACCCTAGCCCAGTTGTTCTCAACCTTTCCAATGCCAAGACCCTTTAATACAGTCCCTCATGCGGTGGTGACCCCCAACCATAACATTATTCTCGTTGCCATTTCATCGCTGTAATCTTGCCACTGTTATGAATCGTAATGTAAATATCTGTGTTTTCCGATGGTCTTAGGCTCTGCAGCAGCGGTTCTCCCACAGGTCGAGAACTGCAAGACCAAAATCTCAGTGATGCAGTAGCAACGAAAATAATGTTATGGTTGGGGGTCACCCCAACACGAGGGACTGCGTTAAAAAGGATCGTGGCATTAGGAAGCTTGAGAACCACTGCCCTAGCCAGTCTGGCTCAGTGGATAGAGCATTGGCCTGTGGACTGAAGAGTCCCGGGTTCAATTCTGGTCAAGGGCTTGCGCGTCCGGGTTGTAGGCTCTCGCGGGCTCCGTTAGGGAGCGTGCAGGAGGCAGCTGATCAATGATTTTCTTTCATCATTGATGTTTCTATGTCTCCCTCTCTCTTCCTCTCTGAAAGCAATAAAAATATATTTTTTAAAAAGAGGTACCGCATTTAAAAATATATATATATATACGCCAAATTTCTCTCTTCTCTGAACTTAAAAGCCCTGCAGAGGGGCAACTGCTGACTGTCTATGGAGCTAAAGAGCAACTGTCCCCCAATCTGGGGCTTCGCTCTCCAGTCTCAGGGTCCCCACACTCCCTGTCCCCACCAACACTGTCTGAGCATCTCTGTGTGCTCGGCTGGCCCTGTGGGCTGTGATCTCAGACTCCGGGAGTAGCTAGTGTTAGGATTGCAAGTGCTTCTGGAAGTTGCTTTGCCTGATGTGTAAAATCCTTGAAATCCACAAGCTTAGTGGTCGTGCCCTCCTTCCTAAAGGTAGAAAAATCTAAAACCCAGCACTTGTGGGTTCTGGTTAGTCAAGGTGGTGCTGCTATAGTGAGTAATTTAGTGGAAAAAAACAAAAAACATTTTAAACAGTTTGGAGATGATGAATGAAGGATTTTGTAAAAACCCTGATGTGCGCACAAAATATTTTTTGAATTGTGTACATTTTAAAACATCTCTCTTCAGATTTTCTCTGTACTTAGGTCCCAGGGTTTAGGGCAGATTCTGCATTGCTGGTGCTGGACCGGACAGTGTGGATTTTGCTCTCACTCCCCTGCCTCTTCCCTCCCTTCCCACCTCACCTCACCCTCTCCTTCCTCTCTCCCCTCTGCGAGGGGCCTGAGTACCTAATGGCCTGTGACTCAGTGAAGCCTCAGGGGAGAGTTGACCTGGGGTTGGTGTGGGGGGATTAGTGTGAGTTATTCCCTAGAGGAGGAGAGGGTGAGGAAGAGGAGGAGGAGAAGAAGAGGAGAAGGAGGAGGAGGAGGAGGGTCCAAACCTAGGTTGAGGTAGAAGTGGTGCAGACAGGGCTGAGCAGGTCCCTTCCCACCCTCAACTCAGCCTTGTTACCAGGCCTCCCTCTCAAATGAGCAGATGTGCCTGTGGAGGAGTCTGGTAGAGGAGAGTCCTGTCTTAGGGAGGACAATTTGGGGACCACCCACCCAGAGCTCACAGAGCTAGTGGGAGAAGAGAAGGAGGGGAAATTAAGCCTGTCTCCTCTCTGCCCCTCAACCTCTCTTCCTCTATCCCTGTCTCTCCCTCTCCCAGTCTCCCTGTCTATCTGCCTCTAGGCTCCTCTCTCCCTGTCCCCAGTCCCCTTTCTGCCTGGCAGTTTATCCCTGCCTTTCTCCGCAGCTCCCCCATTTCTGTGGAACCACTTTTCCTGGACCCAGTCAATAGCCTAGAGCTCTGCTACCCTCTGACTCAGTCCTCTCCACCTACATATTTCCTCCTCGTTCCTAGAACCTGGGCAACTCTCAGCCCAGACAGCACCTGGCTTGGTCTTAGGCACTCCCTGCCTTCATGTGCTTACACTACCTCTGCCAGCCGGTCTGTGCCAGGAGCCCACACTCGGGGCTGTCTCCCTTTGCTATGGCTCTGTAACCAGGACCACTGATGGCCAAAGCAGGGGCCTCCGACAGCTGCTGCTCCTGGGGCCTGGGCCCTGCTCCCTAGTCCCACCTGCAGCAAACACAGGCACCCCCGTTAGGGGACCTGTGATGCTGCGATGTGGGGCTCTGTTCACCGGATTCTCTGGACGGTGCACTGTGGGCACCAGGCCTCGTGCAGTGGTGTTGGGTTTTGGGGTGGGGGTTGGGGTTGAAATAAAGGTGTGCTTTCTTCCATTTCACGTTGCGTGGGCCTTTGGCCTGGATGGTCGGGACACCCCATCCCAGAAGGTTCAGACCTGGGTTGTCAGGGAGGGCTTCAGAAAGAGGTGAACCCCGGATATGGCCTGGGCAGGGGGAGTGAGCCAACAACGCCCACCCCAGAAGCTTCTCTGCTCAGGGCGTCTGCTCTGAGGGGAGCAGGGAGGAAGCCTCGGGCCTTGTAGGCTTATAGGAAAGATCAGGGTGTCTGAGGCTCCGGAAGTGGGTGGTGTGGCCTCATCCCTTGGTCACAGACAAGAGAGAGGAAGGAAGAGAAGGGCAGAGCTTGTCTGTGGCCATGACACGTGACCCATGACCCATGGAAGCTAGAGGCCAAGACTGAAGGAACAGAGCACCCAAATGGGGAAGGTGAGGTCCGTGGGTCTCTGGGTAGGACCTCACCAACAACCCACATTTGACCTCTGACCCCTCAATAGCCTGCTACTGAGACACGAGAGCAAGACAGACCATCCCAATGCCACCAATGTGTGACCAGCCCATTGGTTATCCATTTCCTTCTGAGCCCGATGCATCCATCCTGCTGAGTGGTGGGCAAACATCCCTGCCTCATTCTCAGTCCCTGGGGAACTGGTGAAACCGACCTGAGACCTCCCCTCCGGTCCTGCCCACCCCATCCCTGTGGCTGCAGGGATTGCTTGAAGGACAGGCAGGTGACCGGGACCAGAGAAAAGAAGCTCAGGGCTGAGACGTGACTGGGAGCCAAGCGAAAATGTTGTCTCCTTTCTCTGGGGTTGCTGAGGGGATGGGACACGGAGTGGTCTTGCCACCACAAAGTTAAGGAGCAGAACTGACAGGTGGGCAGACCACCCACTCTGGGCTGTGTGGGTACCATGGGCTCGCAAGTTGTTTTCTTTGCTTAAGCCAAATTGAATTGGTTTTTGTGTTGCTCTTTGTTGCTGTTCTTTGTAGTCAAAATTGTCCTGACAGACAGTCCTCAAAAAATTATGGAGTGCAGTGGGGGTTAGACTGGTTTAATAT